ACACATAGGATAACATGCTGGGGAGTTTACTGGCTGTAGAATAAAATGGCAAAAGCCAAAAACAGCAGCTGTAAAAATGTCTAGTGTGCATGAGGACTTAATGATGACTGTTTATCTGTACACGCCGATTTCCACTGTCCATCTAAGTTCCCTACCTGGCCTGATTTCAAGATCATTTATGCCAGATTCTGCTTCTTGTGTGACAAGCAGTAGGGCAAACTGCTATAATAGATAATGTATCTTTGTTAATTAATACATCTGATGTTTTCAAGCCACAGCACATTTTAGGGAATTTATTCTAGCGATTGTATTCAGATGGAGCATGATAGCCACCATATAGGAAATCAAGGAAATGGAATTGCCCAGCAAATTCTCCAACTACTGCAAAATAGTGGTCGCTTTATCCTTCAAAAGATACATCTGGTTGTCCCAAGTAGCCCAATAGAGGAGATTAAGCAGCAATGTGGATTAGCAGGACCTCTGGTAAGTGATTGTTTCTTGCGAATCAATTATGTATTTAAATTATGATGATAAATAACTCCACATAAAGATGTCTAGCCAGGGGGAAACACTGCAACAAAAATTCCATCTGCATTACCAATGCTTGTGGTTGGTTGATACCAGGTTCTCCTTGGCTTGAATTGCCCCAAGAATCAAAATATTGAATGCTCTAGGGAAGACAAATCTACCTTGAGTGAATTTCTCTTCTTAACCTCAATCATTCTGAACCCTTAGAGAACATTCTTTATAAAAGTAAAATATGCACCATGTCTATGAGGGATAGCAAAAGATTGAAGATTGTGCAGAAAAGTACTGTATAAGACTAAGGCCACTTTACGGACTGCGGCACAACAGCCGATTCATTTGGATGGGCTGCTGTACCTTGCAAAATGCAGGGAAAAGGTCCCTACGCCTTTTCAGAAATCACAGCCCACACTGGGAACAACACTAAAGTGTAGTTCCAATTTCCAGTGTGGGAGCCGTGCCATTAAGATTAATGGCACTTGCCTGCAGGTCCCACATTTTGTGTATGGGTCATTGCAGCTGTGGGATGAAGTGGTGGCAAAAATGATAAAGATAGATTTATAAAAATCAGATATCAGCACTTTCTCACATGCATTCTAGGCAGTTTGCTGGTCTCCAGATGTATTTTGAAGAATTTATCTTGTCAGACTTGTGCCCCTAATTTGTTCAGCTCTCCTCTCAACAGGAAACAAACATTTCTAAAACTCTGCATCCCTTAGCTCCCTTTGGTCATTTTGTTTGCTGATGTTTGTCCTTCAGAAATGGATGCATGACTGTAAAGGGAAATATTTTCTGGTTGCCTGGTAAAATGCACAAAAATACTGGGGAACAACTACTTTTAATTCTTAGACCAGCAGGTTTACTTTCACACATTATATCAGCTGTAATAGTAAATAATATGCTTAATATGCAAATACTGCCACTTCCTAGAAATCTGAGGTGCCTCCCCCCACGACCTCTTGTACCCTCCAAATGGCCAGTTAGGTGACCCATCAAATAAAAGTCCAATGGAAAGGTGTGGGAAGCAGGAAGGGGTGGGTTAGTTGTACACACACTACTAACAAGTGTACTTTTTGTGTATGCTTCTGGACTTCTGGAGTATGTCAGGGAAGCTCAGAAAAATTTTGACAGCATGTGTAGCCTCTGCTAGATACTTGTAAGTACTGTGGATCTACTCCACCCCTCCAGTAGATTTTTCAAAGCCTTGGAACTAACACCAAGATACAGGGTGAGAATGAAGTCTGCAGCTTATTGGTTGAAATTATTATTTATTTCAGGTACTTATATAGCGCCATCAATTTACACAGTGCTTTACACACACACATATATATATATATATATATATATATATATATATATATATTACATTCAAATCAGTCCCTAACCCTCAAGGAATGTGCAATCTAAAGTCCCTAACTCGCATTCATACATACTAGGGCCAGTTTTTTTGGGGGGGGCATCCTTACCTTCCTAACACATTACTCAGTCTTTATCACTATAGACAATCAGCATGATAGTTTCCCCCATTAAGATCTGATGTGTTTTCAAAGTGTTCCTTTAATCATTTTGAGCAGTGTACATGTAAAAAATCAGCATTTCTTTGCTAGAAAATTACTTAGCCCCCCAAACATTTTTCATGTTTTAAGCAGAGGCTCTTGAGAACAAAATAGTTGTTTATGTTGCACGATATTTGGGCGTCGTTTTTTTAAATGCAATTTTTAAAGAAAAATTACACTTTAATGATATTTGGTGCACACAAACAGAATATAATACTTTTTTTTTGGTAAAATCTAAGAGATGATGTTACACCGAGTAAATAGACACTAACATGTCACATGTCACATATCTAATCTAACATGTCACACTTTAAATTTGATAGCAAGGGCCATGACAGGTCCTCTTTATGGAGAGATCTTGGGTGTTTTTTAGATCCCAGATCTCTCTTCTGGCCTCCAATTAGGGATGCACTGATACCATTTTGTTTTAGAGCAAGTACGAGTACTGATACTTTTTTTTTATAATCTCCAATACCAATTACTGATACCTGCCAGCAACTGTTTTTTTTACACTTCAGCTGACAGCAGGGAAACTGCAGTGGCCCTTTTCCTTAACTATGTCGGCAATCACCCCTATTCACCCCTTATGGACCACAGCAATTTTTAGATTTTTGCATTCACTCTATCTGCTCTCCCACAGTACACAGAACATAGAAATGCAATTAGTTCAGATAAAAAACTGCTAAATACCTTTTCTCACCACCAGTTAGAGCAGTCTTGGGACTTCTATCAGTGTTCAGCAGAGTCCTGGTTAAAACTTGTAGGAAGAGTTTTCTTTCTGCTCAAGAAGGATGCAAAAGCCTCTGTCTGGACAGTGCTGATTGGCCCTGTGCTGATCACATGCACTTTCCAAAAAAAACCCCAAAAACCTCTCTAGCAATACACACACCAAACTGAGCATGTGCAGAGTGCCTCCACATGATATGTCTTATCAGGAGACAAGAGGGGGACACTGGAAGAAGGGAAGAGTCAGGATCAAACAGCATTTTTTTCTGTCTACTTTTATTTAAAACAAACAGAAGTTCACAAAAAAAGGTTTCCCAAACAGGGGATTCTCACCATCAATATGAAACAGAAAACAATATTCAGCCTCCTGGCTCTTTATGCAGCTTTGCAGCACAGCTTAGCAGTGTTGGTTCTCCTGGCCATTTAACACATCCAGGGCTCGTGCACTAACCGCTGTACTTCAATATTCAGCTCTGTGTCCTTTCAACAGCATCCCAGCTGCTCTGTTCCTAATGGACTGTCTTCCTTACAGGCTTGTGCCTTTCTCTGTCCTGACCTGCACAGGTCAGTGCATACCAGCACCTTCTGCCTCCCACCCTGGGAGGTGTCTCCAAAACGGGAGCCCTGAGCTTCCCTCTAAAGCCTAAACTGTCTAATCAGACAGTAGCATGGCCTCGTGCTGCCACAGTGTGAAATTATTACGAACAAAGCAACAAAAACAAAATCGTTTTTTAATTATCAATAGTTTATAAACTAGAAATGAACAAAATAAAAAATCAGTATGAACAGCTGAGTCATGGGTTGTTAAAGTCTCACTCCTTTACAACCGGTAATTGCTGGTGCTTTTTTTTTCAGGCTTTTTTTTTATAATTGACATTTCAGCTGTCAACAGGGGAATCCTGCTGAAAGAACTGAGCCTGAAGTTATCGTTTCAGGGATCAGAGCATTTGCGCCAGTACCGATACTCATGCAAATACTTAGTATCAGAACTGATAACAATACCAGTATTAGTGCAACCCTACTTCCAATGCATCTAACCAAACTGAGATCGGTTTGGTCAGATGCTTTCCAAGCAGGTAATGGCTTGTAAACAAACAAACTGAGATTGGAAGTGATTACATTTTTGTCACTTCTGGTTTCTGATCTACAGAGGGGTGGAACTATGTCAGTTCCTTTTTCTATAGCAACTGATGCTGCCAGTCAGATTTTGATCTGGGACCCCATTCTGCCACCTGTAAAAAATGTATAGCTGCTTGGATCACTTTTTCATTGCAGGGAATCAGCTGCTGAAAAGAATGGTACTGGGATCATGGGATCACCTCAAAACAAGGCCATATACAGTCAGGTCCATAAATATTGGGACATCTACACAATTTGTGGCCCTATACACCACCACAATGGATTTGAAATGAAACGAACAAGATGTGCTTTAACTGCAGACTGTCAGCTTTAATTTGAAGGTATTTACATCCAAATCAGGTGAACGGTGTAGGAATTAAAACAGTTTGCATATGTGCCTCCCACTTGTTAAGGGACCAAAAGTAATGGGACAGAATAATAATCATAAATCAAACTTTCACTTTTTAATACTTGGTTGCAAATCCTTTGCAGTCAATTACAGCCTGAAGTCTGGAACGCATAGACATCACCAGACGCTGGGTTTCATCCCTGATGATGCTCTGCCAGGCCTCTACTGCAACTGTCTTCAGTTCCTGCTTGTTCTTGGGGCATTTTCCCTTCAGTTTTGTCTTCAGCAAGTGAAATGCATGCTCAATCGGATTCAGGTCAGGTGATTGACTTGGCCATTGCATAACATTCCACTTCTTTCCCTTAAAAAACTCTTTGGTTGCTTTTGCAGTATGCTTTGGGTCATTGTCCATCTGCACTGTGAAGCGGCGTCCAATGAGTTGTGAAGCATTTGGCTGAATATGAGCAGATAATATTGCCCGAAACACTTCAGAATTCATCCTGCTGCTTTTGTCAGCAGTCACATCATCAATAAATACAAGAGAAACAGTTCCATTGGCAGCCATACATGCCCACACCATGACACTACCACCACCATGCTTCACTGATGAGGTGGTATGCTTAGGATCATGATTAAAATCTGTCTGAATAGAGGAAATGCAGGTCAGAAGGAAGTATACTTTTGTAGTAAATGTCTTCTTTTACTTCAATCAGATAATTTCTCAGATGCTATGTTTTCTCATCAACATTGTCAGCTCTGTGTTTTGTGGTCACCTGGGGAAAGTGGAACTGGATGCTGTCACACTTGCTAATGCAGTAAGTTTACAGGTTTTACTTTGCTTAAACATTTATGATCCATAAGTTTACATTTTGCTGGTGGTTAGTAAATTCACAGCTATCTTTCCCCTAGTCACTCATTTTTATGCACCTAAATGACTGCCTATTAGCTACCTCAGTACGGACACATTCACCTCCTTCCTGCCCAGCCAATTTTCAGCTTTCTGTTGTCATATTTGACAATTGCGCAGTCATGCAACCAGGGGCGGACTGACAACTCATGGGGCCCCTGGGCAACAGGGGATCATGGGGCCCCTGTGTCCTTGCCCAAACTCAAAAAAGCCTATGAAAAAGGTACCAGGGGCATCTCATGGGGCCCCCTACTGACCCCGGCCCTCGGGCAGTGCCCAAGTTTCCAAATGGTCAGTACGCCCCTGCATGCAACACTGTACCCAAAATACATTTTTAGAATTTGTTTCACACAAATAGAGCTTTCATTTGGTGGTATTTAATCACCACTTTTTTTTTCAAATGAAAACATTTTTCTTCATTTTCTTTATAAAATGTACAAATAAATCATCTTTCTTCATAAATTTAGGCCAAAATGTATATTACTACATTTCTTTAGTGAAAGTAACCCTAATCAGTGTATATTATGTAATCTGTAGGAAAGTTATAGCATCTGCAAACTATAGTATGTGAAAATGTATCAATCCTGATGTACTGATAGCCTCATCTAATTTCTTGAGGCCAAAAATGCTAGGATAGTACAAATATTCCCCAAATGTTCAAATTGTTTTCATTTTTATTACCTTTTTCTATTTTTTTAATGATTTTTTTACATACTGTGACCAGATCAATACAGTATTACCATAGTAACACTATACTACTCTGGAGAGGTGATCACACTATGAACACTTATAGTGATAATCACTTTTATAAGCAACCATTTTTTCTGAAACAAATCCATTCATTCAGTGTGCACTATTGTGATTAGCTGTGATTGGCCACAGCTAATGACATTGTACAGATGGGCTGTGCTTGGCCCTGTCTGTACCATGTGAACACTGTGACCAATTACAAAGATCAACACAATAGCACACATTAAATGATATGAATGAAAGCCATCCATTGTGTACAATTGTCATGCGATCTGTTGTGATTGGTCACAGAATTCACATGGTACCAGCAGAGGCTGACCTGTCACCACAGCGTGGCTCATGGGGCACGTGCAAGGCGCGATCCTGGGAAGAAGTCATATGACGTCCACCCAGGAGAGGACAGATCAGAGGTTCTAACCCTTCCAAATTCTGCACCAAATTAGAAAAAGTCATTTTGGCCAAACTTCTACATTTTTAATAATTGGGGAGTAAAATGTAGGAGTTATTTTAGTTTTGTGAGGTATTTTACGTATAGACAATTTTCTCTTCTTGTTAAGTTCACAAATATAAATATTGCTGCAGTCCATACTTTATACAAAAATAACTATATTATATTCAGCTGGTCAAGCCTTTAGTGAACTTAAAGTCCAGTTAAACCATATTAATTTACTACTGTAATACAGCTAGGCTGTATATACAGTAATTAATTTGTCTCTTACTTTTTCTCTGCCAAGTACTGTAGAAAGGGTTAAACGATTTAACAGTTCTGTCACTGCTTATCAATAAAGGGAGGAGGGGTCTAGCTAACACTGTCATTGATAACCAATATGTGTATGTGGGGGGGTGAAGAGGTTAACAGCACTACAACTGACCACCAAAGCAGAGAGAAAGGGGTTCCTTAAGACTGTGATGGACTACCAATGTGTAGAGTAGGAGTTAATTAACACTGCCATTGCCCACCAATAATGGTCGGGGGGTTAATTGACACTACCACTGACCACAAATGGGGGGGATATTTAAATAACACTGCTAATGGCCATTAATGCGGGGGGGGGGGGGGGGGTAACAGCATTGCTGCTGACTACCAATGAAGGAGGGTTTCAAAAGCATAACATTGACCACCAATATGGGTGCTATTTTTCAGTCACTGACGTCGATGTTGGTGATTATTGCAGTCACTGGCACCAATTGCTGAGGGTGTCATCCTGGTGACTGGCACATGCTGGGGGTTATTATTGCGGTCACTGACACCAATGCTAGGGGTCATTACTGCAGTTACTGACAAGACCACTGGGGGTTAATATTGCATCCACTGACAGCAATGCGGGGGGTTGTTATTGTGCAGACTGACACCAATGCTGGGGGTTAATTTTGCAACCAGTGACCCTTGGCTGGAAGTTACTATTACTGTCACTGACACCAACGATGGTGCTTATTTTACTTCCACATTGTCTTTAGTGTGTGTTGCACTATAAAGGTCCAGCAGGATCAGACTTTTTAGGCATTGAGGTTTGTTGCAGCCCATAAAAGGACAGCCTAACTTCATGCAATACATTCCAACACATGAAAATTTGCTGCTATTCCCTCTGGAAGTGTCAGAGACCACACTCGAGGCCCTCTAGAGTTTTCAAGTTGAGCACTTCCCTAGATCAAATGAGCATGAGATCCTGAACATATTGTTGGGTGAGAAGGGACTGGGAATGAGCATCCACATGCCATTTTTAAAGGCTAATAGAAACCAATTGTCATGTATGCGTTTGGAGCACTGGTGCGTCATTTCACACAAATTACCTGAATGTCAGCACAAGAAAACTAATAGCAACAATTATAAAAACCTAACATAGAATGGAAATCTTCCCTAGTCTATACAAAAGAGTTTTGTGTACAGCTCTACTTCAAATTCTGCATGCTATAGGTTGTTGCAGTTAGGTTTGCTTATTGCATTTTCACAAAATCATTCAATAATTTAAAAAATAAAACTTTTACGCGTATTCATTAAAAAATGGCTAAAGGCCTTTTTTTTTTTTTTTTTTTAGCTTTGGACACAGTGGATTAGAACACCTATTAGGTTTTAGATTCACCCTCTCTATTTGTAATTGAAAGTGAAAGTAAACAAAACTCCCAAATGTTGGGTTGTCCCCAGAAAAGAAATAGAGGGGAAATTTTCCAATGGGGACACTAGTTCTGGTGACCTGGAGATCCCCAAGAAATTCCCTTAATTTTCTCTTACTTCCTGTTTTGGCTACGACACAGGAAGTAAAGATAAAACTCCCCAAAGGGACACATATGAGGAAAACAAACCTGACAGGGGTTATAACTGTTCCTCCCATCCAAAACAAAAAACAATGTTTTGCTTATTGTTCTACTTTAAGATAGTGTGTTAGTTTAAATTCTACTTCAAGAAAGGGCCCGTAGCAATCAGATATCAGTTTTCTGTTGTCAACTCAATTAAAGAATATGTAAACCCAACATTTCATATTCCTAATATGTGCCTGCTGTACTGTATACTTATATAAAAAAAAAGTATCCTATTCTCTTTGTATTGCTTCAGTGGTGTGAAATCCCTGGTGTTCCTGTCAGCCCCTCTGCTCTCCTATTAAAAACTGACCACACTAAGCATGAGAGCACAGCTCGGTCAGTTGTCTAGCTATACTAGACTCAGTGTACTGTCCTCCTGACACGCACCACTGCTCAGCCTTTCACTGGGAAGATCAATGCACTGCTGTTTTTCCTCACCTAGCTCATATGTAGCTGAGGACAGAAAGTATGTGATCACTTCTAAAATGGGAAAAAAAGGTGTAAATAATGTATTTTTTTTATATCCGTACACAAATGTTTTGCCTTTCATTTTTATTTTAAATTAAATGGGTTGTTTTATAAGCTAAGGGTTTACAATCACTTTAAGAAGGGATAACTGGTTGCTATGGGCTTCAGAACTTTGAACATCCTTATATCTCATTTCATTGCATTGTTGATTAAGCACAATGTGTATAAAACAAATGATTCTGGCTTCATACATTGTATAATGAATATTGTCTTATAACAGGTCATTTCAGTCACTGGTCTTTCAGTGGGGCTTGGCTTATCTTCAGCATGTGACACACTCATATCACAAGTAAGTGTCACATACTGTAAGGAGTACAGATATCAAAGACATTAATTAGGAAGCACTAGTATGTTCTTTATATACCTAGGAAAACATTGGCAGAGCAATATATAATGTATTTTAAAGCATATCCTCTGACTGTTAAGTACTTTATTATGAACTAGAGCTGGATTTTATAGGATAAAAAGTTGACAGAAGAGATCCTAAAATACTTTTTCGTAGGCTTGTCCAAATAAAAAGGTACATTTAACATACTTCCAGCCTTCAGCTTTCATCTTTTGAAAGTGTAGCACCCCCTTACCCTTGAGCAGATGAGGAGGACCCCTAGACAACTTGGCGGGCTAGCATTTCACCTCCCAGGGTCGGATCTGTCACTTTTTATAGGTAAAACAAAGCCAGTCACTTTAGCACATTTAAAGAGTTTATTTAGCACAATCAACACAGGAGAAAGGGATAAGGCTCAGGGTATCCATACATACACTACATTGCCAAAAGTATTGGGACACCCCTCCAATTCACTGGATTCAGGTGTTCCAATTACCTTCATGGCCACAGGTATATAAAATCAAGCACCTAGACATGCAGACTGCTTCTACAAACATTTGTGAAAGAATGGGTTGCTCTCAGGAGCTCAGTAAATTCAAGTGTGGTACTGTGATAGGTTGCCACCTGTGCAATAAGTCCATCCATGAAATTTCATAACAAAATGGAAGCAACTGGGAACAACAGCAACTGAGCCACAAAGTGGGAGGCCACGTAAAATGTCAGAGTGGGGTCCATGCATATTGAAGCTCACAGTATGCAGAAGTTGCCAACTCTCTGCAGAGTCAATGGCTAAAGACCTCCAAACTTTGTGTAGCCTTCAGATTAGCACAACAACAGTGCATAGAGAGTTTCATGGAATGGGATTCCATGGCCAAGCAGCTGCATCCAAGCCTTACATCACCAAGTACAATGCAAAGTGTCAAATGCAGTGGTATAAAGCACGCCGCTACTGGACTTTAGAGCAGTGGAGATGTGTTCTCTTGAGTAACGAATCACGCTTCTCTGTCTGGCAATCCAATGGATGTGTCTGGGTTTGGTGGTTGCCAGGAGAACAGTATTTGCCTGACTGCATTGTGCCAAGTGTAAAGTTTGGTGGAGGGGGGATTATGGTGTGGGATTTTTTTTCAGGTGTTGGGCTTGGCCCCTTAGTTCCAGTGAAAGGAACTCTTAAGGCGTTAGCATACCATTTGGACAATTTCATGCTCCCAGCTTTGTGGAAACAGTTTGGGGGTGGCTCCTTCCTGTTCCAACATAACTGTGCACCAGTGCACAAAGCAAGGTCCATAAAAAGATGGATGAGCGAGTTTGGGGTGGAGGAACTTGACTGGCCTGCACAGAGTCCTGACCTCAACCCAATAGAACACCTTTGCAATGAATTAGAGTGGAGACTGCGAGCCAGGCCTTCTCGTCTGACATCAGTGCCTGACCTCACAAATGCACTTCTGGAAGAATGGTCAAACATTCCCATAAACACACTCCTAAACCTTGTGGACATCCTTCCCAGAAGAGTTGAAGCTGTTATAGCTGCAAAGGGTGGGCCAACTCAATATTGAACCCTATGGACTAAGACTTGGATACCATTAAAGTTCACGTTCATGTAAAGGCAGGCGTCCTAATACTTTTGGCAATATAGTGTATATACAAAAATACTGTATATCTCAGGCCTTCTAATAACTATGAGTACAAGTTGCAGACCTGCATAAAATCAGGATCATAAGTTCACTTAGTGATCCTTGAGAACAGACCCACATACAGTAGCATAAGAATTATGATTTCATTTAAAATTATGTTTTTTTTTTAATTCTAGATATTCGGAGGGACCAATCTAAAGTTAATAGGCGTTGTCATGCAACGTGGGATCCTTGTACTGCTGCTGGCTTGCTTTCCTTGTTGGGCACTGTTCATAAATACTGAGAACATTCTATTGCTCTTCAGACAAGACCTAGCTGTGGCTCGGTATAAAAAATTATTGTGAATCATGTTTTTACTATAAATTCTGGAAAGAACTCCTGAGGCCCATGCATTTAAACTGGTTCAGTCCATCAAAATATAATCTGATCCTTTATGTATATTGGGTGTTCACTTCTTAGCTGCATCTTATGCTCTTTCATCTCTTATCACGATTATGTTTGTGGTATATATTCTGTTTATCCTTGGAACACAGTAACTTCTTTCTACTGTGGTTACCACACATTTCAAACAAAATATTCTGTCTGCTCTGGGTAATGAAAACATCAGAGTATTATTTTGTCATCTGACTGTTGCTTTTTATATTCGCAGTATGGCAGAAGAGTATGTACTGGTTTTTATTCCTGCACTTCCAGTAAGTTTTTTATCACCAAAATGATTAACTATATTAACTTTTCTGTCCTTTTGAGTACATCATCTCAGCCATGTACCTGGTATTAAGGTCTAGTTTAAAAATATGGTAACAGCACTACACAAGCAATTTTTGAGCATTTTATAGTCGTAGTCCACAATGCCAGTTGTTTCAAAAAGAACAGTCGTACTGATTTTTTTTATATTAATGTGCATTCTCAAGTAAGAAATAAAGAAAAATATAAAGAAGAACAAATGGTATAAGGCAGAACAATGAATGGTATGCAGAATAAGAGAAATCCCATAATTTACTTCAAACACCATGGTTGGAGTAAGGTGTGGAACTATAAGCAGTATTCAGGTTGCAGCTGCCTATTGCTTTCCATGGCCTGAAGTGTAAACACTTGGGGGAGATTTACTAAAACTGGAGCACTTAGAATGTGGTGCAGCTGTGCATTGTAGCCAGTTTCCAACTTCAGCTCGCTCAGTTAAGCTCTGGCAATAAAGCCTGAAAGCTAATTGGTTTCTTTGTAGAGTTGCACCTGATTTTGCACTGTCCAGTTTTAGTAAAACCCCCACTGTGTTGGATCTACTTTGGCATCAATGGCAGTGTGAACAAGGTCTAAAAATTTACGTCATTGTGAACAGGGCCTATAGTGTTGTGCATGTATTCTCAAAGAAAATTCAGTTGTATCATCTGCTCTTTGGTGGGTTATTCTTTGTAAGCCCACCTGACTCCTGGACAACAACCTCCTCTGTCTGTCAGAGTGAAGCCCAGTACCATAGTCAGGTCTCTCCTAAAAGACCAACACACACATGCCCAATTAGTGTGCTGGTGGTTCCCAAAACCAGGACCCAGGATTGGAGGTTTCATTCCTCCCAATTCTCTATGAAATCTCTGGGCTCCAGGTCCCAAACCAGGTTTTACAAAGCACTGGGGGAACTGAAAAGCCAGTTTCCTCTGAATGACACAAGCACCCTGGAGCCCCTCAACCTGCCAGGATGACAATCCTGGGTAAAATAATCTATTTTTACACCGTGGCAGGGCACAGCACTGTCACAGTATGTGATGGTCAATGAAAATTGTTTACGTCACATGGCTCATTATTAGAAAAAATTAGCTAACATGCTTGTTTGATGTTTTGTTTTATTGCTGTGATCTCTCTATTGTGAATCCTACTGTCCTATTTTGCTAAATAACTCAGATACTAAAATCTTTGCTAAAGTACTTGTCCATAGATTAAATGAGGTAATACCTACCATCATAATTGCTGGGATCTCCTTACTCAGCTCTTTTAGATGTGTAGAAGTCTTCATGCATTCTTATTTTTTCTTCTGCTCCTTCTGAGTCCTGGCACAAATCATTTCATTTTTAGCTGTCTTCGCCCTGTTAGACCATGTATGCTTTCTATTTACCTGTGTATCAAGCAGGAGAAAGGGAACAGCCTGGACTGCAAACACATTTAAATCAAATTCAGAAAGTAAATTGTGAAGGGTTCAGAATTTGACATATGCTTTATACACAGTATACACCAGGTACCCATGTATATTAAACGTATTCCGTTTTATTATTGTAATGTGCAACCGACTGTTCCATTCATATGATGTCAATAAGGGCTTCAACCCATTCCGCCAAAGTGGGGGATGACTTGAGATTTCCAGTGTTTTGGAATAACCTACCTAGCTGCTATAAGAACGAACTGCATAGCAGATAAGGGCACGGAATTATGTTAGCTGCAGAGTGTTAGGGGTATTGGTGGGGCAAAAGTCATTACAGATCTAAAATATCTTATCCCAGAAAGTAGAAATCAGGGAACTACTCCACCATATATGAAGATAGGTTTCCTGATATTTGACAGTCTGTTTCCCATTGAAGTTGAAATGCAGTTTTAATGTGAGCTTTATGAGTTAGGAATAGTGGGTACATGAAAGAGATTGAACAGTGTGGAGGTTGATGTTGAGTACATAGGGCCTCGTAGAGCCAAAAGCAAGCACTGTACATGAACCTGTGGTTTTAGGGTTTTGTTGAAGTTAAAAGAACTGCCTGTGCAAAAGCCAAACACTAACTTTGCTAATGCACTGGGATTAGAACTCATCTAAAAGGAAAGTTATGAGTCTTGATATTGTAAAAAGTACAAAGTTTATAATCGCTACGTAAATTGACAGCGCTATACAAGTACCTGACATAAATAAATAAATAAGCGATCACAGCCAACAACATATAGTGGCTGCTGTCAAAAGAGATCAGTATTTCAGTTCATGCCTTTTTAAAGTATCTGACCAAAGAAGGATCTTGGGATGACAAGGAGCAGTTAAAGATTCAATTGTTATAAAAATATGAGGCCAGAAAGGTAAGAGGGATCATTATAAAAACAGTTCCCCTGGACCCTGTTAGGCTGCAAGTACCACATGTGAGCAGTTGGGTTACCATGAAATATTAATTTTCACATGTGTGCAACCAAGGAAGGGGCATTGTCATTTTAATTTAATTTAGGTCTAGGAGGTCCTATTCATTAATTTTTGTATTGTGTGTTAAAATAAAGCTTATATTATTGTAACTATCCCTTTTACCTTTCTTGCCTCATGTTTTAGAAAATGTTAGCCACACAAGTTAACTAAACTTCATTTACTTTATGTGCATATTTGGGAATACTTTTTATATATTTGTTAAAAATTCAATTATTACCTAATATTTATGAACTTCTTGATGAAACCAATATCGAATCCAATACACAAGCAAGTAAAACTGTTCTATAATAGAAAATGTTTGCCGCCCCTGTGCATTTTACAACATTAATGTCAACTAGGCCAACTAGTATGCCATAACAAATGTGTTGACTATATATTGTAATTTTTGTAATAATGCTTTAGGCAGAGAAATGGGAACAGCTTTAAAAAGGTAAAGCAGTTCAGATAAAGTGTCCATTTGAGGACATTTTTTCCACCAAACCATGAAAATGACTGGGTGGGCCAGTTGTGCAGATCAGATTTGATAAAATTAAGCATCATTGTGCAATTTAAGGATGATAACTATGTAATGTCTGTAGGAATTTGTACCCCTAGGTATTTTAGTGTTTCCGGATGCCATTTAACAGGGAAAGAATATTGTATGGGTAACACTACTGAATGTGAAAGGGAGATGTTTAAAAGTTCCATTTTCTAGAGATTTACTTTAAAGTTACTCAAATTGTGAAACAATTTGAGTTCTTTCATAATTATTGGTATATATGTTGAAATATATGGTAAATATATTGGTAAATATGTTGAAATAATTAAAGCCTAAGCACACATTCCGGTGCGCCAAGAGTTATGCCATGGATTGATGGGTTCTTATGTAGAGAATTGGTAAGATGTTCCATTGTGAGTAAATACAGCAGGGACAGTGGAAATCCTTGCCATGCCATTAACTTTGGGAAAACTATAGGAAAGAGAAGGATTGCTTTTAATCCTGGTAGAGGGGCAACTACGAAGCACCATAATTTTAGAGATATTGTGATCTCCCAAACCTCCTGTTTATTTCTAAATTTGTTACTGTTACCAATTCCATTTTTTATATAAAATGGACTAATTACACAGTGCTCTACAGAGTACACAAATTCACACTAATCTACAAAAAAAAAAATCATATGCAGAATGTATTCAAGGTATAATTCAACCCATAGCATAAAGATGCAAGGCAAGAGTGCCCACCACTGTGGAGCCCTGTGTATGTCAAAGCAGATTCATATACTAACCCCTGTCCATTTAGTAGACAAGTCACATTTACAGTGCTCCTTACAAATTGATCAGTTAAAAAATCTGATGATCACATAACAGTTATTGGAATGTCATATGAGAGTAGCCTTACACTGTACAGAATGAGCTAATTTCATTGTTTCTCAGCTCCTAAGCATTTTGATATTTAAGGCCCAAGTACCTGTGCTTGTAGCGTGGACTAAGGAGGAGAGGAACTACGGATATAACACATCACATGACACTAGCAAGCTAGGAAGATTTCAGGATTATTTTCTTCGCAATGCCACAACATCTGCTGATCACTATACATCAAAAATTATATAGATGTCTTTGTACACATTTACCTTGCTTTGTCAGAATGTAATGTTTTCATGTTTTAATGTTGCTGTTTTAACTTACTAGGCCGCATTCCTATATCATCTACAGGCACGATATTTGCAAAATCAGGTATGTATAAATTCTTAGTTCTCCTACAACAAATGATGAGGTAAAATTGCGCAAATATGCTACACATAGGAATTTTGGAACACAGCATGTTTCTAGGGTCCTAATAAATCAGGGGTACCTCTGGCACAGAGAATAAAATTCTGAGGGTTTGGTAAGATACCCTGATGACTACTTTGAACTTTTTGTAAATTAACATAACTGAATTAGTCTGAAAAGTGTAATGTTACATTATGATGACAAAAAAATGATAGATTGTAAAGTAGATGGAATATACAATAAAATAAATCTTTAGAACACATGTATCATCTCCATATCTCAAAGGAGCCCCAGGGCACTCAGTAGAAGACCTGGGCTTATGCCCTGGGTTCCAGGATCTAGCAATGGTCCTGCTTGAAACTAAAGGTATTTGTCCCTTGTATGGTATAAAAAGTCAGCCAAATCAAATAATCAAAAATCCTAATGAAAATGACTGGAACATTATTGGACTAGTTGATGAATGCAGTTGTTAGAGGACTACTGATATTGACATTGTTGATTAAATCTAGCCATTTTTCTGCACATTGATTACCTCGTGAAAAGGTTTTATATGAAGTAATAAAACGTATAACTACAATACAAGTACTACAAGTACTACAAGTTATATATCTTTATAACTAGAGATGAGCGAATCGAACTTGGCGAAGTGGAATTCGTTTCGAATTTTAGGAATCGAATCGAAATTTTCCAAAAATGGCGGCGACATGTGTGGCGACGGCGAACGGAGCGGGGATCTCTGGGAAGGCGCGCAGACAAGGCGCGCTGACCCATAATGCATTCATTCATGACATGTGATCGCATTAGCC